AGAACGCATCACGTCAACACGCTAACCGACGACCACCCGGCTAAATATACCTTGTCGTCTCCTTGTCTCCGTTGAGTCCCACTTATTGGTTTTGGAATGTCTGTCTGTTATTTATAGTCACTCGTGTCAAAATAAACGGTCATTTCCCCCCATTATCGCCTATATCCACATAGAACATAACTTTATACTGTGGACTCATTTGTTTACAAATATAAAAACGGGATTTGACCACCGGAATTGATTTATAGCTAGTATTTCAATTAATTGTCTGCTAAGGTCGCCTATTAAGTTTATAAAGCCGTACACTTTACCCCCTTGGTCCAGGTCTGACCTTTAGGTTCACAATATTGCGCCATAGCATTTCAATACAAAACAAACTTCGTATTCAAAAATATATTATCATTTAAGACAATTGTGGGTGTTAATGGATGAATTGTTAAAGGTCAGAAGTTCAGCCATTGAAGATTTTAAAATTACCAATGACTTCATCACAGATTTATTTATAACAGGATTTCACATTTAACCGTTTCGACTAAATGCAGCGACTTCATCGAGGCGAAAATTTTCTTTTGAATTTATCGCATGTATGAAAAATGTAAAATTTAAATGAAAGAACCTGTTTAGGGGGTTATTTATCACAAACAACTTACAATATTAATCTCAAAGCTGGAAAATAGTACACTTATTAAAAAAAACGAATGAAAATATTTCACAAATTGGCCTTACTGATTAATTATTAGGAAATTTGTCGCGTTTGCAGTTAATTTACAGGTTGTCATTGAAAGAATTTTATCTACACCAACGTCAAAACAAATATTTCAAATTAATTTCATGATTGGCTAATAATGACGAAGAAAATAAACTGTTGGATAACATACACATAGGTCGTTTTCGAGTATCCTGGTGCGTCTGTTCTCGCTGTTTTGCTTAGACAGACGTGTATAGGAATTTCGCTTTGTTCGGTGGTCGGGTTCTGTGCTTATTTAAACAATTAAAAAGGAAAGGATCTTTAAGTCCGAATTATTTGTTAGTTTATCCAATTTTCTATTCATCACTGTTTCTGGTCTGCCTCCCTCTCTTTTTTGTATGCTAGACTTGTTTCAGCATTTCGCCTCTTCAATCTGTTTGTATATTAAGTCTTTTCGGAGGATCTACGGAAGAGGTCAAACACAGCGAAAACTTCCTTTCGGTTTTCGCCGAGCTTTCGACAGTTTTATACTGTCATCTTCAGGGCCTGTTTTATTATCGTATAAAAAACAATTAAAACATGAAAAAAACAACAAGTAAGATACTCAATTTTTGTGTAATTTTTTTTCATTGTCTTTTTAATTGTTTTTTTATATGATAATAAAACAGGCCCTGAAGATGACAGTATAAAACTGTCGAAAGCTCGGCGAAAACCGAAAGGAAGTTTTCTCTGTGTTTGACCTCTTCCGTAGATCCTCCGAAAAGACTTCATGTTTCCAGCAGGTCGATAATCTAGTTCATCGTTACAGTTTGTATATTATTTACACGATTAATTGGGAAAGTGGTGATTTTGGTTAAAAAAAATTACTTGTTGAATGATCAAATCGGCACTGATGATTTTTCTGGGTCCGTCTATTATCGCTTGTTTGCATTGCGTTTAACCTTCAGAGACGTACTCCAGCACTACATAATTAGTTTTTGAAGTTTGGCCGTTTCTGATAATTCTGGTACGTTTAATTTCCCTTGGATTTTTTCTGATAAAATCATTTTTATGCATTTTTTAATGCGTTTTTGGACTTGTTATCGTTGATCCTTGTTCAGAAATCCGTCTCTCTCTCGCTCACACGCTTAAAAAATCCACATACCTATATGTATATATATATGTATATGTGTGTGTGTGTATATATATATATATATATATATATGTTATGTGAAATTATTTGTTTACAACGCTTAGATGCAGGATTCCTAGTATTGTAGTCNTCTCTCTCTCTCTCTCTCTCTCTCTCTCTCTCTCTCTCTCTCTCAATCTCATCTCTCTTCCTTAATCTGGGAAAAAAAAAGTGAGCTTACACACCTTCTCACTTAAGTTGATTTGAGCCATAGCACGCAAACTAACTAGTAAAGAAGAACCCAGTAAAGTTCAACATGTTTTCATCCATTCCCAAGGTCATCACCGCCACCTTATTTTTTATTGTATCAAAATAATATAAATTAAATACTATTACGTGTAAGAATAAAATTGATATTCGAGGAAGAAACTAAGCTAGTCTCATCACTCCAACTCAAGAAGAAATCGAACAAGCACATTTGTTCATCTTCAAAATGTGCTAATCTTGAAGAAATATATGGTAAAAAGACACTGTCCACAGATGTTCATGTTCAGGTTCAATGCTAAATGTATTACCGGGTGATTGTTTTAGGAATGAGGCAATTTTTATTTGTGTAAAGCTTGTTAACGTCTTGTTTGTAAAACTGCTCGAAGAGGAGTGCTCACATCACGACCTTTATGGAAATCGATCTCTATCCAATCGTATCAACAGAACCACCTCCGGCCAAAAAACGAAATATCCTTAGTCCAGTTTGGTCCGTTTGGGGCAAAATTGGGAATCGATAATAAAGAAAGGGGGCGGCCGGAGGGTTGAAGTGTCTGCCGGGAAGGAGAGCTATTCAATAAACAGAGTTTTGAGGTCTCCTCTTTTCCTTCACCATTTATATCTGTCGCTCTCCGCCCCCAGACAATGCACCACTTACTCTTTCCACTATTTTTAATGGACCCCAAAGGGCCGAGGGTGTGAGTAGAGCCGATTGACGCCCTTCGCCCTTCCCAGCCAACTCCGCCGCCCAATTCTTTCACACTCGCTTTTTATTTCTCATTCATCCGCTCTGATCACGCTCTTTCCAAATTGACCTACGATTTACCTCACTTCTGGTTATTATTATTTATTTATTTCAGATTATTTTCTAAATCAAAAGAGACCAACGACAAAGAGACCTATAATTAGACCTGAACTTACAATTAGACATCCCAACCGTAATTCACAGCGACAATATATTAAATTTCAATACATTCCAGTAATAAGGCCAGAAAAATATACGAACCATAAAATATAAAACGAAAAAAACAACTAAATGAATCAGCGTTCCCAGAAAAAAATAACATCAGTGCAAAGTTTAGATCATTAACTTTCCTGAGCAATATCCCCTGTTTTATTCTAGTCCAAAATGTATTCCAGCAAGTTAATTGCTTTATTAATGGCCTTCTGAGACACGATCTTATAAATAAACCGACTGCCTACTTAGCTCAGGATTAACTTTTCGTGTTCCGGTGTGGAGAGGGATTTCTCACCGCGGTATTTAATTTGTTTAATCCGCTTTTTTCTTCTTCTTTTAAATAGAGATTTATTATTGTTTAAGAACACTACGAAAGTAAGAACAGGAAGGTTAATTGTTAATGTATCTATGAAGTGCATTAATTTTACAGTCCTAGGAAAAACTAAAATAAAATTCCCCTGAGTTGTATAAAATCAAGTCTAGATCGAGAATATATGGGAGAATTGGCGGACCAGGATCCCCTTTGTTAAAAATACTTAAGTATGTCAAGGTTTTTTTTTTGTTTGACAATCCTAGTCAAATTTAAGGTTTCAATGGGACATTGGTTCTTATGCGTCCGCCTTATCTCCTTATTTGTTAACGCAAACATTTGTGTAATGATGATTTTATCAAATATAATTAGATTACAATTTCTAAGTTTCTATACCGGAGGCCACCCAAGGATTTGTCCGAATGTTTAACTTTTGAAGACCTGCTCTCCTTGGGTAGATTTTTGAAAGGCCGCTTTTACCAAAGTTACCTCCTATTTTATCCTTCCTCCGTGTCATATTGGTTTCAGGAAAAATAACACCAGCCTTAAGCATTTCTATGCGGTAAAAATATTCCTGAAACTTTTGAGGAAAGTGCTAAAAAAATCTCTTGGTGTTTGACTGAATTGAAGAGAAGATGGACGTATAAAGATATTGATTTTCTAAACCACAAAAACTTAATATGTACAAATTTTTGAGAAAATCAAAAAATCAATTTATTACAATTAATTAAGGTGTTTAGTTGAGATAAAAACCTTAATTAATTGTAATATATTAATTGGTCAAACGGTCAATTGTGCGTCAATTCACGAAATTAGTGCATTTAATGAAATCAATTTATTTTTATTACCCAATGCTTCGGATTTTTAAATAATGAAAATGGTGATAGCAATGAAACGATTCCCCCTACTGCTCTACAAGACACTTGGTCAACCCCTTACTTTACAAGGATTTAAAACGTTATTATCTACAAGTAATGACACAAACCTGGATTCTGTAAAAAACTAAATAAATAAAAATTGAATATATAAAATAAATCAGTTGAGGGATTTTTGTTGATTTATTTTTGCTCATTTTTAATGACATAAATTTTAAACCTTGTTGACCAAGGCTGAAAATAAAAAGGCTCTACTTTCTAACTGTAATATTAACGTGGACATTGCATAAAATGCAAAATAATTATGAATTTTTAAATGGATCGGACATGGAAAAAAAATAGCTCAGATCAATCCAGCCCATAAAGATCAAATTTAATTTGTAACAAAATGTGGTATTTAAGGTTCTTAAAAGGTGTCTAAAATTAATCTGAACCGTTTTTCTTTAAATACATGAACAACAAAGGCAGAAAACCAAGTCAAAAAATTAAATAAAATGCAAGAAAACTCGCGGCGAGTGTCTACTATCTTTGGACTTACAATCAATTTCACCAAAAAAAGGGTTCAAAAAATTTGAGATCCCACGTTCGTAACCTTTCTTTGTCAGTCAGAATCCTGTGACTAGGTCTTTACAAAGTTTTCCTCAATTTTATTTTTTCATAGTTCATAAATACTATTTAATAAACTTACCCTTACATAATTAAATATTATTTCATTGGCCTACATTTATGTTATTGTATTAGGTTCTTTAAATTTTATTTGAAAATCCATTAATGAAACCTTGTTTATGTTTCAGGCACAGTGAACGCGAACGGGGAGACGAAACGACAAAGGACGTCGTACACACGTTACCAGACGCTGGAGCTGGAGAAGGAGTTTCACTTCAACAGGTACCTGACCAGGCGGAGGAGGATAGAAATCGCCCACGCCCTTTGCCTGACAGAGAGGCAAATAAAAATCTGGTTCCAAAACCGAAGGATGAAGTGGAAGAAGGAGCACAAGATGGCGAGCATGAACGTCATCCCATACCACTACCACATGTCCCAGCCCTACGGGAACCCGTACCAATTCACCCATCTGACCACCTAACTAGCTTCTGTGGTGCCGGGCAGTCATGAGATCTGGCAAGAACGCTACGAGTGATTTGATGTCGGTAGATCTCACGGCGACCGAGCACCCGTCAAAATAAACTGACAACAGACTGTGATCGTCATCGAAAAGTGCGCAGTGACATGTGTGTGACGCTACCTCTATTGATGAAACAAATAAAAAAATTGAACAATATTAAAAAAAACGGACTTTCTTCAACAAATGAAAGGTTTTTCTCAAAACCAAGAAGACTTGCGTTTCAAATGCAAACTGTTTTAATTATTATATCGATGTACTTCTCAGTATTGATATTATTTAGCAATAACTTCTGATTAGACATGCATCGTGTACAGAGTTTTTTGAAAAATATTTTACGAACTACCTTATTGTATTTTAATAATAAAAAAAGGGAAAACACAATGAGATTAATAAAATAACACTAATAGTGTCTAAGGTAGAGAGTAGAAGCGATTTTATTTTGACAAGTGCAATATATTTGATAGCCTTCTGATAAGGAAGACACCTTTGAGTTCTCTACTTTCCTAATTGTAAATAATCTTTCAAAACAAATAAAAGTGTAATATAGATGTTGATCTTGTTGTTCCATTTTTTTTGTGTTTCACTATTTGTGAGTATATAAATATATAATATAATAATTATATAGCCTAATTGTGACTGAGGAACATAACCGTAATGCCAGTGAGTGTGTAAATTGATTTCCTTTTGTGTAAAATTTATATACCTGTATTATATATTATATATGCGATATTTTTCTTTATCTCATTTTATTTTTGTTCGTTGTTCCGGTTTTGACGTAGTCATTGTTATTTGTTATTATTTGTACGAATTATTTACACGTACTGAATTCCAAGTTATCAAGAGTTTTTGAAACAATCATCTTTTCTTTGAAGAATGTATATGTTTCCAATTTGTGAATCGAACAAATTCGGAGTCACACAGGGATTATGGTTTAGTTTAGAAACACCGTGTAGTATATGTATATGTGTATTATTATTGTTCATTTTATTTAAATTACAATTAAAAAAAGAAAAATGGATCAGTTTTTTTCATTAAAAAAAGAGCATCTCGTTGTTTCCTAGTTTGTCGAATAAATTATACGATAAAACTGTTTTAACAGGAATTTGTGGCATTCTCACTTTTTGGAACCAAGACGTTCTCAGGGTGCACCGCCGTGTGCGAGAGGCTAAAAATAAAAATTTATGATCGAATCAGGAAATCGGCTTTGTTTAAACACAGTCGAGGCTTAGGCGACGGCGTGTGTTCCCGACACAAGTTACTGTACGGATCTATTGTCTTTTACTCAAACTGAAAACCGCTCCAATATTTACTGTATGAAGGGTTAAATAAACAGATAATATACACAATTTATTTTCATTTATTTACCTAGTATCCTAATCATTCAAACGAAATTGGTTACAATCTGAAATAGAAGAGTGTGTACGAAACATCAATTTCTCTTTCTGTTTTATGCCTGTCTGTCTCTGTCCAATTATCTGATTGTCAATACCAATACGGTTTTTATCCTATGTTTCCACTTTTTATAAATATCAACTTTTCAATTTTCTTCTTTCTCACATTCACAAATTCACACTTCTTTATTTTTTTATGTCTATACACTTGTTATTAATTCTTTATTCTCACATACTCACTGTAAGAGGGGCCAGGAGCCATAATTCTGTGAATATAAATAAACGCATGGACGGATCAATTTCTATTTCTCTCTCCGTTTCTCTGTTTCTCTCTCTCTCTTTCTCTCTCTCTCTCTCTCTCTCTCTCTCTCTCTCTCTCTCTCTCTCTCTCTCTATCAATCTACCTCTATCATTCTCTCTCTCCTCTCTATCTCTGTCTTCACTCCCTCTACCTCTATCTATCTATTGATCTATCTCTTTTTCTCTTTCTCACCCCCTCTCTATCTCTCACACATTTTCTCTCTCTCTCTCTCTCTCTCTCTCTCTCTCTCTCTTTCTCTCCTCGCCATCTCTCTTCTCTCCCCCTATCTCAGTCTAAATATCTCTTTTTTGACCAATTTGATCTCTTTCTTTTGACCAATTTGAATTCCATTGTTTCCGCCTAAAAAATCCTTTAAAATGTTAGGTTGTATAGGGTCGTATTGTCGTATTTGAAATTTTGAAGTTAAACTGGGCCTGAGGTATCCTGTATAATTCTCTCTCTCTCTCTCTCTCTCTCTCTATATATATATNTATATATATATATAATCTTTTTTCCTCATCTTTTAAAATCTAGCATAATATGATCAATATCGTTACCTATTCAACTATCTAACTATTCCTATCTCTCAAAATGTTCAGGATTGCAAGAACTTCAATGAAGCAAAATTCGGTAAATTAAAAAAAATTTATCGCACCCAGCGAAGTTTCTGGTGATAAATATGGATCCAACTTCGACATGGAGATCTACACTAAGGCAGCAACGAAGAGTATGTAGGATGCGCCTTCGCGTTTACCAAATATTGATCGCTGAAAAAATTTAAGTTTGACGGGCATTGTTCATACAGCCAGGCGGAACAGATGACAATCGTCAAAGCTCTAGAATGGCTAAACGTCAATTCAACAGGTAATGAAAGGGTAAATATTACCGCAAATAGTGGAATTACGCTGAACGCAATAAATAATGTAACGATCCACCATCCTCTGGTCGAGGACATCAGACTTACCCTAATTATAGTAGCATTGCAATGTTTCTTTTGCATGGGTAAAGATACACTTGGCTTTTTCGGGAAATAGTATGCCGGCATATTAGCGAAAAATGCCTCCATAGAAAGTTCAATTCCCAGCAGCTATTGCAAATTTCCACACGACTCTGAAAAGGTGGACTACAAGATTACACTGTTACCCACAGGGCACGGGAAATGTCTGTATCGCATCGCCTATATTCGGAAATATTTCTGATTTTGTGGACGCAGTATTTGGTTTTTTTGGAGGATTAAAAATTGATGAAATTAATAACAAAACAATTAATGAAAAACTCAGTTTAGCGTCATGTTAATCCATATTTGTAATTATATAATTATACCATAAAACAAACAATGTTAAAAAACTCACCCTCCCTCTCTCGGTTAGTCGTTAACTCTCTCTCCCTCTCTCTCCTCTCTCACCCTCTCTCTCTCCCTCTCTCTCTCCCCCTCTCTCTCTCACTCTCTCTCTCTCTCTCTCTCTCTCTCTCTCTCTTTCTCTCTCTCTCTCTCTCTCTCTGTCTTTTGTTTTTTAATTCTTACTTTCTCTCTCTATCTCTCTCTCTCTCTCGATCTATTTTTATCTATCGATTTGTTTATCATTATCTTTTATTTCCTCTGACTGTATGTTACTCGAAAATTTATAAACGAACTCCCACGTACCCCTTTTATTATAGGGATTGTAAAATATCAAAAAATCTAGACTTGTGCAAAGAATTTTTTTCCTAGGCGTGTCCTATTTTGCGTCTAATTATTAAAAATTGCTCTTCATTAATGATTATGGGGTCAATGACTGTCGTAAGGGGCATTGACGTTAGTTTTTTTGTATTATTATTTTTTTATTCGCTATTTTGTTCGCTTTATTATTAATACACCGAACAGAACAAAATGATATACAGAGTTGTACCTTGCGGATTACAGAATAATTTCCGGCCGGAATTTCCCGATTTTGGCCTTTCCGTGCATTTCGTTCGGTATAATTCGCGTAGTTTTGCAGTCGTTTGATATTCTTCAGAAAGATCCGTTGAAATTTTGAATAATTCAAAACGCCTTCCTCAAACGTTCACCGGGAGTGGGTCCTCTAACCCTGGCCTAAATCCAAATGTGATCATTTCGATACAACATGGGGAATAAACGACGTTTGAAGGTTAAATTGACCAAGGAAGGAGTTATGGAGGAAACAGCTGATGCTTATAGAAAGACATGACATGTGTCTTTTTTTTTTAAATTAGGTCAAATTATTTTGAACAATATTTTAATGCCAGAATCGATGTAAATCATGCATAGTGGTTGGCGTCCAAGTTCAAACTGAAGCTTTAAGATAAATAAATTATTCAACTAATCTACAGTTCGAATAATTATATTTATTTGGATGCATGACATAAATTATCCAATAGATATCTTTGTTGGTTTACATTATTAATACCGATACGACCTGCATTAAGTGGATGTATGAGTAAAAGAGAGAGGTACGGGATTTATAAATAAACAACAGATAATGGTGCTGATCTCTTTGTCTGATGACGGTCAACTAGCATGTGTCATTTCTAGAACTTCACCTATTTAAACCCGTCCGTTGAAAAATATCTCTTTGTCAGCCTGTTTCCGGCTACGATCAGAATAGTCATGAGCCGGTATGAGACTTGGTGATGATGGCCTTGTCGAGAGATATGCCATGGACAAACGTCTGCGACTCGATCAGCGAGACGGCCCGACGAATTACGATTGCATACATGAATCTTTGAAAAATGTTATGTTTTCGCCGATCCTGGAATCGGCAAAATGCGTGATGCTAAGGGATGCTGAATGAAAATCTTTAAAAAGTAGACATTTGACGATCGAAATGCATGACTGTAGATTTTCTCTCTCTCTATCTATCTATCTCTATCTCTATCTCTCTCACTCTCTCTCTCCCTCCCTCTCTCTCTCTCTCTCTTTCTCTATCTCTCTATCTATCTCCCTGTCTCCCTGTCTTCCTGTCTCCCTGTCTGTCTGTCTGTCTGTCTGTCTCTCTCTCTCTCTGTCTCTTTTTCTCTCTCTCTCTCTCTCTCTCTCTCTCTCTCTCTCTCTCTCTCTCTCTCTCTCTCTCTCTCTCTCTCTCTCTCTCTCTCTCTCTAAAACGAAAAATTATTCACAAATAAATTAAAAGAAAGACTAATTTCAAAATATGTATAATCTCCACGGCCAAACAATCTACATATAAGTTTTATATTTTTATGTTTAATTTAAATTGTAGAGTATATTTACAAAAATCTTGGTTTTTATGTGTTATTTTGGTTTTTGTTTTTTAATTTAAATTGAACAATTCTTATTTCTCTCCCAAATACTCCTTTATATATAATTTCACTAAATCAATGTATAATGCCAGAGCATCAACAATGATCATATTAATCTGATTGGTTGAAGCGCCGAACACGACAGGAATTGAGAGAACCACGGCAGTTTCTCTTAGATGTTTCCTGAGGTCGGAAGTTATTCTTGATTGGAAGAAATTTTGCGGACTTGAGCCATTGACATGATTCAACGCTTTCTCAACCTGCAGTTATTATCGACTTCGCATCATACCTATTTTTCAACGCCAGTGAGCCTTTTTTGTTGTTTTTTATCAATAAATGCGTTTGGTTATTTATTTCTTATTTAAAATATGTGCTGAACCACGGGAGAGCCGCTATTTTTTTATATTTTAATGAAAGTCCTTTTTTTTATATACAATTGTAATCAAATCTTTTATTTTTTTAAATTCCTTTGCCACTATTGTTCGGGCGGGGAAAGATCCATAAAAATTAGGTCTTAATTTTGATGGGTTTCTCAGTAATACGACATAGTTCGTCATATATATGGTAGCAGATCATTAACCCGTTAGTGGCAAATAATTACTCCATAAATTAAAAATCGGTTAAATTAAGTAAAAAGGCAAATCGAATAATAAATATTTCCATATTACCAAGTTTTTTAAAAAAAGCTGTAAAATAAAGAGAATTACATATTAAATTAATATAATATTTTAATAACAATATCAATTAAATAAAGAAAAAAGGATGACCAGAAAAAGCAAAATTCGTAGACAACGAGCACGTCTGCAATACGGGAAAACATGTTGACCACTATCAAAGACAAACTTTTTTCTAATATATCAGATCCAGAAGTTGCTATAGAATTAGACACATTAAACAAATTAAAACCAATCTTTGATCAAACAGTGAAAAAGTGAACCGAGACACAGGACATAATCACTCCCATGAGAAATGACTTGTTGCCGTCGATGTAACAAAAACTTTAACGGAAGATATTGATTTAGCAAATTTGAAAATTGCTCTTAGTTCATTGGAATTAGAATCCAAACAACTCAATAAAGTTGCAAGAAAATATGTAGAACTAAAAAAATTATCCGAAAAACATAACTAATGCAGATTTTACTGCTCAGCCAGAACTCAAAAAAAGTTTTTTTGAACAATCTCAACAATTGATAATAGACAAATCAGAAGAAGGCTCAAATATGGCTGAATCACACTCATATACAGTGACTCACAGATGCAAATTGGGTTATATCATTATTTACTTTACAAAACAATTGTAGAACATGAAATAAACGTAGTTTTTTTAATAATTTTATTTATCTTATCACAAACAACACCCAAAAAATTAAATTGTTCCTTTATCATGATTATTGAA